TGTCTTTAGCGGTAGTGATTGTTTAAACTATCTCGAGCTGCTCAGTCCTGCTCTCAGTCATGCCACTGCAGGTGGCATATTGCAGCAGTGTTGGCAACTCTTGTGAAGTGGTGCCTTTTGTGGGTTAAAGCTAATACAGTAAATGTTTGATTCACTGATCCTGTTCTCTGTGTGACCATATAGACAGTTCTGCTAGAGGTGTGACAGAGCTGAGTGCTGTGGCTGGAAGGGATGGTGAGATGTTTAAGCTAGTATATCTGATCTAAAAAAAAAAAAAAGGTGGTGAAACTATGGGTTAAGCCTTTGTGAAAGTGATTTTACTGCACATTTGTGGTGGAAAAAGAAAGAAGGACTTTTTTCTGGTGAGAGGCAAACCACAACAATGATATGAATATAGCAATTGGAATAGCAGATAGGGAGGAGAAAGGTGTGAATATGCAGAGCCTTAAAGCTGAAGCCAAACTGCAAATTTAGTGTGTGGAGAGGCAGGAAATAGATTAAAAGTAAGAGTGATATAGTCTGAATCTGCAGGGGGTTGCGATAAGATATAAGCCTAGGAGAGAGGAAAAATCACTGTAATAACAGTATGTTTGTAATTCATCACCACATATTGGTATGAGCTTTAGCTAGTGGAGTCTTCTGTGAGATAATCACCTTTTATTAAAAAAAACAGACAACAAAACAACAAAAGAAGTCATGTATCTCTGTACTGTTAACCAAGTGATTCCTGAATGTGAAATGAGAAAAAGAAACCATATAGTAACAGGACTAGAATTTAGCATTATCTAGACCTGGTCCTAAGTAATTATTCCCTAAGAGTAGTGACTTCCTTCTGTTTTCTTGGGGAGGACCTTGATGTCAGAATAAGTGCTCTCTGCAGGGTGTCTCACACCTGAGCATTAGAATCCCTTGGTGAAACACAGATTTCTTTCAGGATTTTGTACCTAGTTGTCATGTGGGGTACCTACATTCCCAAAGCACAGGCCTTGCATGTGCAGTGAGTTGGCCTCGTGGCCGTCTTACCCCGGGGTGGGCATGAGAAAGCCACTTGCTACACAGGTGCAGCTCAACTGCACGGTGGATGTGCTTTAGGTCTGACATGCAGTATATCTGCATATGTCTCACAGCTGCTTTCCGGGTAACTGAAAAAGTATTTGGCTGCATATGAAGTATGAAATAAATTATATCTGTTAGGCTTTTAATACAGAACATATAATTTAAATATATAATAATGAAAATCCCGTTTTATACAGGATATCCAACAGCTTTCAGCTGTTAAATCTTGGAGAGACTGGTTCAAACTGGGGGTGGAAAGGATGAAATATATGGGCTTGTGCCTTAACATAACATAAGCTGTAGCACCTCTTTTAAAAATCTACAGCTGCTTAAGGAAAGGGCTCAAGGGTGCTTCCCCCCCCCCCCAGGTATTTTTGGCAGATGATTGAACATGAATGGAGATTTCCTTTAGAAGGAAAGCTACATGAGGCAGTTGCACAGCATACTAAAAATGGCTGTCAAAGAGAAACTTTCATAATACACCAGATATTCAGTGTGTATTACAAACAAAATCAGCTTTTTAATCTGCAGATAATGAGAGACCATTGTGATTCAGAACAATGTCAGCCAAAAGTATTCAAAGATACTGTTCAGAAGGACAAGTGTCTGGCCACAGAGCCTTCTAAGCTTATGGGCAAATCAGCTACCTGCTGGGCATAAGCACATTCTCCAGTCTTTTCTGGTAATATCCAAAATCATGAACCCTCTTAGGTCACTAATTCTAGCATCCAGCCTACTTTTGAAAAATCGGGAACTTCCTTTATAGACATTTAATGTTGGATTCTGTATCAGTTGGCAATCTTATCTTCTGGTATTTAAGCAGTTACTGATACTTTGGCAGATCCAGGATAAAGGGGAAAAAGTGGAAAAAAAAAAAACCTTAAAAAGAAAGACACTGAATTACAATGTTTCATGTCTTTTTGTAGAAATTAGGGTTGTCAGCCAATGACTTGGAAATCCAGGACCAAGCTACAAGCCCTTAATGCAACTTCTTTCCCCCTTTTTTTTTTTTTTTTTTTTTTTTTTTTTTTTTTTTTTTTTTTTTTTTTTTTTTTTTTTTTTTTTTTTTTTTTTTTTTTTTTTTTTTTTTTTTTTTTTTTTTTTTTTTTTTTTTTTTTTTTTTTTTTTACTTGTTATTATCCTGGGAAAATATGACATCCCCCCTTTCCTTCTGTGTATCTGTTCAAAATTTAATTTTTAAAGGTCCATCTTTTGTCCGTCATGTATTGTTCCCTCTGTGCAGTGATGATTCACCCCCTATAGGGATAAATCTCAAACCCCCTGATCTGTCGTACAAACAAATATCTTCCCTACTGGTATTTGTTTAATTTTGGGGCTTTCAGCATATACTAAGCAATATAGTCCCTTACAACACTGTGGTGCTTGATGTGCGCGTGTCCTGGAGATTCTGTACAGTGGGCAGAATTCTTCGCAAAGAGCTCTCAATATAGCAGGTTGCACTTCTAACACTGTTGTCTTTTAATTTCCTTTGACTGAATTTGTGCTTTCTGTCTTTCCTTTGGTTTCTCTCTTTAGCCTTTTCTTTTTTCCTGCCTCACAGGCCTGTTTTCCCTTAACATCTCCAAGGCACTGAAAGGACAAATACTAGCTAATCTAATCTCTCCTAGGCCCTCTCTTCTGCTTTAACAAAGCTTTTGGCTTCCCCGTCTCTCTTCTTTGTTTTCTTTACCTTTCTTTCCCTCCCCCTCAAAAAAAATCACCACTCCGGTGTAAAAGAATTGGTCAAGCTGCCGTAGAACGTGCAATCAATCACTGTGATTTATCAGATGAAATCATGTGAATTTTCCAGATGTACCTGTGTGTTGTTATACCAGACTTGTACTTCCTGTTGCAAAATATGTGTATGGACAAGAAAATAAAGAGAAAGCTATTTCAAGCTTTCCCTTTCTGATTTCTGACAAAATTCTTTTGTGTAATAAGCAGAGTAGTCTAGTGGCTGAACACAAATGCTATATCCTGTCTGATAATGCTTTCTAGGTTTTAGTTTTTGCTAATGATTGAAGGTGTGTAATTTTTTCTTGTGCGTTTGGGCCACCATTTCCTTGAATCAAGAGGGCAGGACCTTAGGCCTTTGCTAAGGCGGCTTCTGCTTCTCTCTGGCTGCTGCTCCCGGCGAGGTCCTGTGTCACTCTGGCAGTGTTCCCAGTCACCATCAGCACTGCTGCATTCCCGGACTCGCGTCTTGCTTAGCACAAAGGCATTGACAAATTCAGTGTGTTTAGTTTTGCTCCCTTGCTGTGCTTCATAGGGATTAGGATTTTATTTTTTTTTAATAGAATAATATCGAAATAGAGCAGTCAAACAATGAGAATAAATGTTAATGACCGACAATCCTCACATTTGCTGCATGGAGGAATCAAAATGTGGATGTTTGTGTGTTGGGGGGTGATATCTCTGAATGACGTAGGCCCTTAGGTATGCAGTTAAAAAGAAACATATCTTGAATAGTTTGAACTGTTAAAACTGATACAAATTTGAACTTGAATGTCAGGCATTTCCAGTGTGTTCTTGCTGCTGTGGTGGGCTGTACGATTCCCTTTATAGCAGCACTCTCTCTAGTTTCTGCTACATTCCTAAAACAGAACAAACTGCCAGTGTAATCCATGAGCCTTCCTGCTCCCTGCCCTGAAAAACGTTGCCAAAGCTAAAAAGGGAAAATGCTTCCAGCAGGGACTCCAGAATTACTTATGAGATGAGAATTTATACTCTGGGCTGTTAATCTGCTGTTGCAGCCTAAAACGCAAGAACACAAAAAATGTAAGCAGAGAGCTAGGCTGGTTTGCCAGTTCTCCTGTGACAATGGTATCTCAAGACATAATCTGAATGCAGGATGGGACAATGCAGAGTAGGATTATTAATTTTACTGAGCTACATAGTTATAACTCATGTCGGCTCTCAAGCAAAGAGGTCTGTGTGGTAAAGTAGTTATATCATGAAAGGTGCTGGTGGGAGCTAAGGGAGGGCATTGGTTTTGTTTGTAGTGATTGTTTCTGGGATCATTAGCACTGCAGTAAAGATAGAATGAAATGCATATTCTGTTTGCAACTGGCCTTGATTTATGGGAGAGGGTTTTCTCTAGTTGGTTTTGCACAATCCTGGATCTTGCATGCTGTATTGGAAGAATGTTTATTGTGCTTTGGTTATTTTAGCTCATCATTTAATAATTATTGTTTTAATATTAAACCTCTCCCTCTGGTACTCCATTTGTTTTTTGGTTTTGTTTCTTTTTTTTTTTTAATAAATAATCCCTTTTATAATATGTAACAAGCTTCAAAATAACCTTTTAATCTGTGGTTTCCATTGCAATTTGTTGATTGCTATAGAATGATAGTGCTGAGCTACCTAATACAGGTGCAAAGTTTGAACAAAAATGTAAAGGCTTATTGGGGCCGTTCTAAAGATTTGACCTTTTAAATCTTCATCTGGAGTTGAGACTTTCTTCCTTCCTGGCACAGCGAGAAATCCTCCTGCTTTCACTGCATTAGGGGAGAGAACTGAATCACATTTTTAATCAAATGCTCGCAAATTGGCCCAAGATCAAACCGGTTGCTTACATGCTGTTTTCTCATTTTGTTTCATTTGCAGAATTTCAGTAAAAGACAAAAGGTAAAGCGAAAGCATGTGAGAAGCCCTGTTAATGTTTTTGTGAAAGCGGACAGACAACTTGCCATGGAGAGAAACCTACGGCTTTTTAGGGCCTGCATCTTAAAAAGTACCAAGTCCTACAGGGTTAATGGACAGGAAACTGCAGCTGCAGCCGACTAATACGGAAGTCAGATTTTTGTGTAACAGACAGCCTGGGCAGGAGAAAGGTGGGGGCCAGAGGGGGGGGAGGAATTTGAGAGTACAGTATCTGGGGTGATCCTGGTATTTTTGGTTATGCTCTGCAGCGTTTTTATCAACAGGGAGGGCGCGCGCTGAATGGCAGCGACTCTCTGTGACAATGCAAATTCAATGGTGTAACAGTTTTTGTGGAAAGGAGACATGAAGTTTTTCCTATTTAAGGCTCGGCTTATCACAGTGTGTACAGAAATCACACTCTCGGTATATGGTTGCTACGGTAGGTGTTCATATATTTAAATTCTGGAATAGGAGAATTCTCTCTGAATTTTCAGTTATTAATTTCAGTCCCTCCTGTGCATGTTCACTTTCGGTATGTTTTGCTCTCTTTCCGTGGCCTTGCTTTCTCCCTGCACCACGTTGCAGAGCCCCAGCAAAGTGAATTTAGCGTTTTGTTTATGAAGAATAGTTTTTGTGACCTGGGTGAACTCTTCCTCCTTCAGGTTTAAAATATCCAAATGCCTTCAGCAGTGGCATGTTGAGACACATTTGCTCAGGCAGGCGGTTCGCGATCACTTCCCCCTGCTTGAAAATCTGTGTATTTTATACGGGGAGTGCACATTTGGGGTTTCTTTTCAAGTTTCTTTTGCTGAAACGGGCCTAGCTTAGCCTGTCTTCTCTATGCACAGGATGGCTCCTGCTTGCCAGAGCTGCACAAAGATAATCGCTCAGGAAGTGTTTCAGCCAATCCCCTGAAGCTTTACATTCAGATTTACCGGAGTAGCCAATCCGGGATTAGCTTTTATTAGGAAGACAGATCATCAAGCTGAAGTGCCAAGCCCTTTCTGCCTGAGTACTGAGAGCCTGTCCTCCATGTTTTATAAGTATTGACATAACACTGTGTTAACAATGCATCCACAGAGGTAAGCCTTACTTTTTACATTTTTTTTTCTCTAAGACCTATGAGTTGTGGGTTGAGAGTGTGATTCTCTGTGATTTGTTGTGCAAAACTCACACCACAGCACTTTATTAAGTTGGAACTGTTTAAATTTGCTTTCTTGGGTCACATGGTTAGTAGCCATTAGCCACAGCTTTATTTTGCAGACTGGCAAAACCTTGGCATACCTACTTCTTCACAGGAGGATGGTGTTTTTAGAGTTTATCAAGATCCTGGTATTCCAAAGAAGCTTTCTCTCTCTGAGCAGTTTGCCAGCACTATTGTCTGTTGTGTCACATGCCTGCTGAAGAGAAAATGGAAGCTAGGGAGCAGATGCATTTAACTGCCCTACAGGGAGTCAAGCAGGGATAATGGCAGACAGAAGAACAGGCAAGTTTACCTTTCTAAACAGTGAATGGAATAGCTAAGATAAGTTATCTCTCAGAAAATATGGGATTTTTAAAAACCTAGACATCAGCAAAAAGTGCTAATGGCAGATTGTAGATATTGGGCCTAGGTGGTGGTGTGCTGTTGCATCATGTTTTTTATGCAGTTTATCTTAACTTAAAATGATTATTGAACCTTTTTTCTTGCAGGAGTAATTAATCCAACGTGTTTCTCTTTCTGAGGGACAATGTATGGTTAATATTTTGTTCCTTTAAAGGGGAGTTTTTGTGCTGCAGATTTTGGAAATGGGTTGCTGCTCAATAAAATGCAGCACTACGTCTGTTTACAAATCTGATTCTTTATGGAAAATGTTTTTGAACTGTTAGATTTCTTGTTTTACATAGTTTAAATAAACTAATGTACCTTTTATCTGTGCCTTTTTGTTTCACACTGTATCAGCCACAGTTCTGTGTTGTGGAGTCCAGAGGATATAAAATCATGTGTGGTTCATGACAGTAGTACATGTTGTTCGTTCCTGGGTTTTTTCTTTTTTTTTTTTTTTTTAACTTTTGGTTTAATGCTGCGTAATTATTTCAAGAAATTCCTTTTTGATCAATTCCCAAATCTGCCAGCCTGTTGTATCTTCTTAACTGGAAAAATGAGATGGGTGCTTGAACAGTTGGTAAGTAAGCAGCATGCTACTCTCTGAACATTTTTAATAGTTTTCCAAACATTTTGTTTTTACTAGGTCAGTTAGTCCAGTAGATGAAGTAATGTTAGTGGTTAGTTATATAAAAAATCAGATTTGCTTGGCGTCCATTTTAAGGGGCTTGTACGTGTAAACTGTTCCAATTTGAATGCACTATATTTTTGATAATTTGCCTCTAAAGTTTGAACCTTATACTTCCTGTTTACCTCGGGCCAGTGAAAAATATCCTACTTGCTGTTTGTTCATAGATTATTAATTACCATGCTTGTAGGGTAAAGCGCATATTCGTTGTTCCTTAGGCTTTTGAGGTGTGATGAAAGTGCTAGTACTCAGCAATGAAGTGACCTTATGAAGTAAAGTAAATAATGCTTAATGAGCATATGTTTCTGATACTATTCAAAGTATAATCTCAGACAAACTTGCTTGATTTATAACCAATTTAGAACATCTTGTGCCCTTTAAGATTTTAATTGTAGTGCTTGTATGCTTGTTTTAACAAGCTGTTTTTCACTGATCGCCAGTATTGTTACAAAAGCAGAGGAAGGATGCTCTTTCGTGCTTTTAATATAATTTTTGCACTTGTTTTAATAGTCCATACACATTCATGATTTTAGGAAAGAACGTATAGCTAAGCTAGTTTTGCAAATGACTGCACTGAGGCGCAGTTACATGCTAACTTTTATAGAAGGTTGCCATGTATTTGATAACATTCTGTAACGTAGCAATTTACCTGTGGTTACTTGTTTGCCAGTATGAGTATCTTACTTTGAATATCTCACTTTGCTTAACAGCTTCTCCACAACCCCCCACCCCCCTCACCACCATTCCCA